GCGGGGCCCGGAGGCGGGGCCGCCGTTGTTTACCTCAGCCCGCGCGGCCGCGTCACGTGGGCCCGTTGGAATGTGCGGCTCGTCTCCGTGCTCCATTCACCAGCGCGAGGCCGCCCCGCCCCCTACGGCCGAACCCCGCCCCCTACGGCCAGAGCCCCGCCTCCAGTCCTCGCTCCGCCCTGTGTCGGGGACGTCATGGGCGTGTTTTTCCCCCTCCCCCACCCCGGGAGATCGAGCGGGCGGGGCTGGGCGGAGGCCTGGCGCGGAGCAGCGGCGGGGCTAAGAAGCGTGCGCGGTGTTGGATTGGTGGGCTCGCTGAACCACGTGATTCGTAAAGTCCGCTTCCTGTACCTGAATGACAAGTTTTGGGGCTGGGCTGCTGTGGATCGCTTCCCACAGCTAGGATGGGAAACGCCCAGCTTGGATAAGCGGGAATGCTTGCAAAACTTGCGTGTATAAGAAAGGTCCTGAGCTTCGATGGGAGATGGCATTCTGCCTTCTCGTGGTCGTGGCCACCGTACCTGCTTGCATTCAACACTCCTCTTTCTTTTTAAATAATTTCTATTGTCATTATAAAGGTGATGTACAGGGGGGCTACTGTTACGTAAGTTACATAAAGAATGTGTTCCTTTTGGACAACTTCACCCTTTCCCTGCTGTTTCCCAGTTTTTCCTTCCTGTCCCCACCCAGAAATTGCATAGCTCATTTTCAACATAGTGTGGTTAATACCACTGCTGCATTTGTTTACAACTCCCTCCATTTCTATGCCCACTCCCCCTTACCCTCCCAAGGACAGATAAATGAACAAACAAAAGAAAAAAGAAAAAACTGTTAGGATCCATCACGATTATGCCAGAGGACCACGCGGAGGAAGGCAGGCACAGGAGAAAGATTATTAGGTTTATTAGAGGGGCCGTATTATCCCCCTGAAGAGGGAGCGATGTGGCCTCTGCCTCCATCCAGGTGGGTAGCTCTGGAGCAAGTGGGGTGGGCAGGTAGGTCTAGGGGGAAGAGAGGGCAGAAACTCTAGGAAGGAGCTCAGGTCTGGGTGGAACTGAGGAACAGAGGTAGAAATAATGCTAACATTAACAGCAATAAAGTAACAAACCTCTTTTTCCATTTCCTGTTTCAATAAATTTATTTTATATGATGAGACAGACACTCGTTTCCTTTGGGTCCACATTTTTAGGTCATGTCTGCTCCAGAGTCTTGCTGAAGCAGAAGCCAACATTCCTGAACCCCTAACTCATGTCACCTGGGTAATGAATGCACCAACGAAAGGAAGGAAGCCTTTTGGATAGCTTTTTTGCAATACCAAACATAGTTCAGGCTTCTGAAAATCAGTGCTGCTACTTTGCATCCAAGAGATGCAGGAAAGAAGGAAAAAGAGGGAAGTGGCCTGCATCCTGGGGCTCGGCAGAAAGTGGAAAACTATTGGTCAACATTTGCAGTATTATCACCCTTTGTAAAGGAGACCTAAAATAGTCATCCAATTGACCATGCATGGACTTAGACTGACAAGTGATTTTTTTTGCTGCTTTTTGAGCTGTGATCAAATGCTAATTTCAAGTTAGGCTGGAGTATAAATTCCATGACTGCCAAGACTGTCTTGTTCTTTATTGTAGTTTTATCTGCTAGCACAGTTCCTGGTAACACAGATAAGTATTCAATGAGTGAATACATGGAAAACAATTTCCTAAGGTTTTTTCCTGGCTTTCCGCTAGCCTGGGACTCAATTACAGTGGGAGCTGCATGCCCTGATCACTGAACCCTTGCTACATAAATTAATTCTGCAGGTAAAGGACTATCTGTCTAACCATCTCTCCAGGGTAACTTGTTACTCCCTGGGCTAACTAAAAACAGGAATGATTTAGGTGCTGACCAGGGTGGGGTGGATTTCCTATTCTCTGCACATAATACACCTCACACTAAAGTGAGAATTTGTGTAACTGGGGTTCTGAATCAACAAAATACTATTCGCAGTTAGATAATCCTGAAATAATATTTACTGAGTATCTATTTACCAGGTAGTATGTGCCTGGCAGGACTAAGTAGAATAACAAGGACTGGGGAGAGAGATAAGGAAAATACAAACATTTCAATCTTAAAGCAAGAATGTGATTTCACAAGTAGAGGAAAGCACAGGAAAACAAAATCACCAGATCTGCAGTGAACAGGTTGTGAAACTGTAGAGCCAAATAAGAAATAAAGATGTGAAGATTTAAAACTTGAGCATACATAGGACATTTTTTATTTAGTTAATGCGAAACTTCAGGACTGGTAATGTAGCTCAAGTGGTAAATCACCTGCCTACCAAGCACCAAGCCTGAATTCACTCTAGTGAATTACTTATGAAGGAATTACTTGTGAATTACTAGTGAAGGAAGGGGAGAGGAAAAACAAAAACAGCAACAGAAATGTATATACACTCTGGGAATGGATGTCCACTTGACATCTCAATCACAATCATGAAGGTCTTCCTGGAGAAGGTGGTTCTGTTAGTGTACACAGGTAGGTACACTGTGAACCCAGCTGGTCCACACCCTGGGCCAATGATAATGAATGACCTTCTAAGCTCCTCCTGGGTCACCAGTTCCATATTCAGGTCAGGCATTCAACTTAAGGGCGCAGTGACTAACCAATGACCTTCTACTAGCAAGGGAAAGAGGATGGAATGAGTCTTAACACATCCAGGAGGCTACTGTGCAGTCATCATACCATTCCGTTTGGAGAGGGGTTTCAGGGGAGGGCTTAATCACTTAGTAACACCACCCTATGGAATAAAACCCCAAGCCCCAACTGAAGCTGTAGGGTCATTATCCGATTTCCTACCTTATTCTTGGAGGTCTATTCCACTGTTCTATACATTGTTCTACCTTTTATTGTTTTTGCCTTGTACTAGGGTTTGAACTGGGGTCTCACATTTGCTATATTTGCTTGCCACAGCTGGTATTCTCACTTGAACCTTGCCTTTAAATCTGCATTTTGCCAGCTATTTTGGAGATCAAGTCTCACAGACTTTTCTGCCTAGGTTGACTTTGAACTGCAGTTCTGCAAACAGCCTCCTGAGTAGCTAGGATCATAGGCATGAGACAGTAACAACCCATTCCTAAATCACTATTCTTCCACTCTTCCTGGTTCTGTCCTTGTACTGAGGGAGTGTTCTACGAACCAAAAACCAATGAGATCACTGATGACCAGTAATCAATTTTCAGATTAATTAAAGCTGGTCTCATTGAGTTTGCAGGTGGCCTTGGATTAAGTCCCAGACACACACACAGACATTCAGAGTATTCTTTATTACTCATTTATATCTGAATATTGCAAGCTGATTCACTGAAGTTTTACTAGGGCATTGGGAATCTGCAGGATGAAACATTTCTAAATGAGTGGCTTTATCTATGCATGGATACTTAAGCAATGATTGAAAAAAATAATGTCAAGAATAACTTAAAAGATAGAGAATCCAGCCAAGCTTCCTCAAGAGCTAGAGATGGGGTGGGGAGAGTAAATTCACATAATCACCTCTGACTGTCCAATTAAAGTTAATATACATGATAAATTGCTACAACTGCTACTGCAGAGAGTGGAAGTTGAATTTGGGTGGTTTGCATATCTATTATCCTCTACTCAACTGCAGGCTACCTAGAGAAGCAGTGCAAAATTTAGCACAAAATAACTTAAAGGTTTTGTGATAAACCACCAGTTAAAAATAGGCATTGGACTTTGGAAAACAGTTTGGAAGTTCCTCAAGACTACACATAGAACTCCCCAATGACCCAGCAATCACATTTTTGGGCATTTACCCAAATGATCACAAACAAGGCCATACTAAAGCTACCAGAACAACTATGTTTATCACAGCATTATTTACCATAGCTAAGATATGGAACCAACTCAGATGCCCCTCAGTAGATGAATGGATCAAGAAAATATGGTATATATACATATATATGTATATATACACACACATATGTGAATTCTATGCCTCTATCAGAAAGAATGATACCGCCAATTTGTTAGGAAATGGAAAGACTTGGAAAAAATTATATTAAGTGAAGTAAGCCTGGCCCAAAGAAACATAGGTCCCATGGTTTCCCTTATTTGCATAACTAGTATATGTCTAGGACAAGCAGAAAAGATCAATAGCTATGTACACATGACCATATAAGATGATGCTAAGTGAAATGAACCCCAAGATAGGGACACAAGTGGTTTCATCTTCCTTGCTTTTGCTTTTAATGTATTTATACTGTACTATGTGATTTTTTTTTTGTTTCTTTTGTATGTTCTTCCCCCTGGATAACCCCTGTTTTCACTGTATTGGATTCTGGTGCTCTGCATCTTGTATATACATTTTTCTAATTTGGGGAGGGGAAGGGAAATAACAAAATGCTGAAATAAGGATACAGTTTGATCCATTGTAACAATGAGCTGTACAAGACACTATGTTGAAAACGAACTTTACAACTTTGGGTGGGGTGAGGGGAGGGAGGATTCGGGAAGGTTGGGAGGGAAGGGATGGTAGAGGGAAAACTGAAGAAGAGGTAACAATGCTCATTAGGAAATATACTCATTACCTTACTCATGTAACTGCAGTCCTTCTGTAAAGTTTCTTTACAATAGAAAATATATAACAAAAAATAGGGGTTGGATGGTAGTTCAGTGGTAGACTTTTCTTCTTGGGCTGGCCTAGTATCTCAGGCCTCCCAATCTCAGCCTCCTCTAGGAAGCTGGACTCTAGAGGATCACAGTTTGAGACCAGCTGGGTTCAGAAAAGTTCATGAGACTTTCTCAAACCATAGCTTGAATATCTGTCGTCCTAAACTATGTGAGAGGGAGAGATTAGGAGGAATTGAGATTCTAGGCCAGCCCAGTCAGAAGAGTCTTCAAGATAGAATCTCAGTGAAAAGATGCTGGGTGTGTTGGCATGAGTTTTAGTCAAAACTAGGCTACTTAGTGAGGTCTAGGCCACCCTGGACTACATAGGGAGATCCTGTCTCAAGAAAATGCAAAAAGAAAAGGAGGGGTGAAGGGAAGAAAGAAGGAAGATAGGTACGTTAGAGTAAGGCTGGAGTGTCTCTGATAAAGTACTT